TCATTTCTATGTAATGATACATGTTCCTCACTCCCTCATTTTTCCTTCCCTCACTCTTCTCCAACCAAGAACATAATACAGTTTGTTCTCTCATTTACAAATTCAGGAACATTCCAGCTAAACCTACGTTTTCCTCCCCAACGTCCCCACAATACTAACATCTTAAGTGATATCAGTGTAAAAGTATCAGCCTATAAAACTTTTTGTTACAACCATCTGACATTCAGTTCTCAATCTAGTTCCTTATGAATGGATTTTGGAAGGAACAACTCTAAGACAACCTTCAGTTTATCAGAGGCACTACCTTCCTACCACACTGTTGCTGCTTTATAAATAAATAAATAAATAGATCTTACATAGCACTTTTGATCCACAGATCACAAAGTTCTTTACAAAGGGGGTAAGCATTATTATTGCCATTATTATCGGAGGTGAAGTGTCTTGCCCAAGGTCACAATTCTTATATATCTATATATCTATACACACTCTTTCAATTATATTTTATTTATATATGTGTGTGTGTGTATATATATATATCGATATCAGTAGATACACACACACACATATATAAATAAAATATAATTGAAAGAGTTAAGGGAAAAAAGGGATATGTTCTTTTTTAGAGTCTAATCCTGCTCTTATTGAAGTCAGTGTTAAAATTTCCAGTGACTTCAGTTGGAGCTGTTTCAGGCCTTTCTGTATGCATATGTAACTTGTATGCGTTGAGAGAATATAACCATGCTGTATAAATACGTAGTCCTGCTAATTATGTTTGCTGGGCACAAACGCATGTACAGGAAATACTATACACAAAAATAAAAAAAATTAAAACAAATATCTAAGTAGAGAATAAACTTGATAATGGATAGAAACCACAGACACTCATGTCTCCCACAGGTCTTGAAAAAAACTGATGAGTCAACAGCATTAGTGAATGTAAATGCTGTTTTACTAAAACTAACAACTATGATTCTCTAGTCTGTCCTCCTGCATAACACAGACCACAGAACTCCCCCAAAATAATTCCTAGAGCGCATCTTTTAGAAAAACATCCAATCTTGATTTAAAAATTGCCTGTGAGGGAGAATCCATGATGACCCTTGTTAAGACATCCTAACGGTTAATTATGCTCACCATTAAAAAATTTATGCCTTATTTCCCGTTTGAATTCTAGCTTCAACTTCCAGCCATTGGATTCTGTTGCATCTTTCTCTGCCAGATTGCAGAGTGCATTATTAAATATTTGTTCCCCATGTAGATACTTACAGACACAAATCAAATAACCCATTAAGCTTTTCTTTGTTAAGAGAAATAGACTGAATTCTTTGAGACTATCACTCTAAGACAGTGGTTCCCAAACTGGGGTTTGTGAACCCCTAGGGTTCATGAAATGTTACAGGGGGTTCTCGGGAAAAAATTCCCCAATGGCGGACAGAGCTGTCCTTAGGGATCCCTGGCAGCCCGGAGTCCCTGGACTTCCAAGAGCTAAGCAGATCAAAGCAAGCATATCTATCACACTGAGGAGATTTAAACATCAAGACTCCTTATAAGAAATGGAAAGGTAGGTGGATATTTTTTGCTCTTTTTAAAATTAAATAGGCAGCTAGTATTGTTTTTAAAATTATGATGAAGAACAAGTTTAAGCTTTGTTGTAATGTGCGTTGTTTGCCTGGACTGCTCAAGACCTGAATGCTTATGTAGGAGGAAATCTGAGTTAGCTTCTTAAATACCTTCATGCTGTTTCACATCTGATACTCCTTGATGAAACATAGGAGCCTTGTCTTGTAACAGGCTTATTCAAAGTGATACAAGCTACAAAAGTGAGATCTTGGAAGAGTGTTACTGTTTTCATAATGTAATAAAAATACTGTAATGATAAATACACCTCTACCTCGATATAACGCTGTCCTCGGGAACCAAAAAATCTTACGGCGTTATAGATGAAACCGCATCGTATCGAACTTGCTTTGATCCACCGGAGTGCGCAGCCCCGCCCCCCACGGAGCACTGCTTTACTGCGTTCTATCCGAATTTGTGTTATATCAGGTTGTGTTATATTGGGGTAGAGGTGTAATAATAATAAATAGTGTGTAATAAGCATGTCATAAAAACAAATTTTATACTTCCAAAATCACTGCTTTTATAATTTATACTCCGGTAAAGGAGAAAATCCCTGGAAATATTCATTTTTAGGAGGGGGTTCGTGAGAATTGACATTTTAGTGAAAGGGGTTCACAAGTTGTTAAAGTTTGGGAACCACTGATCTAAGGCAAGGGTTCTCACAACACATTTTTTGGTGACCTCAGAGTGCGGCCACCAAGTCTTGCTGGTGGCCGTACTGACACTTTTTCCCCTAAAATATTTAACTAACTTTAGGAAAAACAAATAAATATGCATGTATACACACCCAGATCATTGTAATTTATTTATGTAGGAATCAATAAAAATAATGCTGTGAAAAGTGATATTTGTATTTTTGTTAATATCACTTTTCACAGCAAGTTCTGGCAAATTAAGACCTGGATGGAGGGGTGGGAGATGAGGTAGCAGAGGCCAGGGGCAATGGATGATGGGCCTGCCACCACGTGGTCAGAGATGTGGGTTGGCACTGGTGCCCGGGGCCAGCACCCACGAGAGCTTAGGGTCAGTGCCTGCAGTTGCGTGGCCAGGGCTGGGGATCAGCACCCACTTCCATGCAGCCGGGGATCAGCACCCAGAGCTGGCGCCTGCTGCTATGCGACTGGGGCCGGGGGTCGGCACCCAGGGTTGATGCTTGGGATCTGCGCCCGCTGCTGCACAGCCGGGGCTAGGAGTCCATGTTCTGAGCCAGCACCTGCCGGAACCTGGGGTTGGTGCCCGCTGCTGCATGACCAGGGGTGGGGATCTGCACCCAGGGCTGGCGCCTGGGGCTGGGGATCTGCACCCATGGCCAGCACCTGCTGGAACCCAGGGTAAACATCCAGGAACAGTGTCCGGGGTCAGTGGCCAGGGCTGGTGGTTGGAGTGTGCAGCTGGGGGTTGGTTGCCGCTGGGGCTTGGGGCTGGCACTAGGGGTCTGCGCCTGCTGCTGCATGGTCAGGGCTAAGGGTTGGCATCCAAAGCCAGCACCCACTGGAGCCCAAGGCCAGCATCGGGGATCTGCACCCAGAACCGGCAGCTGCTGGAGCTCAGGGTCGGCGCTTGGGGTTGGAACGCATGGACGGTGATCAGCACCTGGTAGAGAACTCACCTTGCTCCTTCAACATTGTGCCCCACCTGTCTCCAGAGATGGGCAGAGTGGCGCATTCAGGAGCAACAGGGAGGGAGGGGGTGGGGCAGACGCTTTGCCACCCCTACCCCCCACACACACACACACATCACCACACAGGAAGCTGTCGTGGCCACAGGGAAAATTCCCTGGTGGCTGCATTTGAGAAATGGTGCTCTAAGACAAGTTTTCTAATTTCCATCACAGAATTTCAGTGTTTGTTTGCTTTCATCCCCTCACTTTAGTACTTATTCTGCACACACTACTATTACCATTAGGGATGGTAAAAACATGCTTGAATTAAATAAGAACTGATGAGAACTACCACAACAAACTAGAGGTGATCCTTTTCTAAGGTTCAAAAAACACACACACACAAAAACTTCCTGGTTTGATGCTTCTTTCCACTTCCTGGTATGAGATGGAAACATCAGATATGATAGCAATATTTCTGACCCAACTAGAATCAAGAAGTATCAACAATGTTACAAGAAAGCCTATTCTCACAGAATTTCCAGCTTTTCTGAGGTTCATCTAGCCCTAATACTCAACAATAATATATTAAATCAGCAGCGCAACGATTGTGGATACTGTGACAGAAAAAGGCAAAACATTTCATAAAAAAGGTTGAATCCATTTTAGTATATTTTTAGGCAGAGCTGTAGGGCATGCATTCAAGAGCGCTGTAGTTCTGTGCAATGTGCCCCTTGTCCAAGGATGAATTACTTTTTCCAAAGTGCTATGTACCTTTCCATTATACTATTTACACAGATGACTACATGCTTGTAGCAAACTCTTCAGCTGATATGGTCATAACAGGGAGACGGTTGTAAAATACCTGAGAGAATGCTGAAATTAATCAACTAAATATCCAATTATCTTTACCTTTCTGTATTATACTGTGAAATAATATTGCAAGTGTACATTACCTATATTTAGGTCTTTAATTTACCATCACACACAAATGAAAAACGAAAACCAAAAACTTCTACTAGTCATTTTAGAAGAATTGTTCCTAGCAGTACAAACAACCTGAGAATGTCTTTTCAAGATTAGCCAACAGAAAATTTTATATTTATACCTTATGTATAGAGTTTATTTGGTAAATAATTTAAATAAACTCAAGCGAGACTTTGCCAATAATAAAACAAGTTCCAAAAGTTTAAACAATCATTAGACCATTAACATGGACCAGCAGCTTTAAATACTTGTTGTATAATCTTCTTTTTATCATTGATGTTATATTAATTGCAATGATTTCACTGAAATAAAAATAGATTTGGATGGTAGCTGTTAGAATGATCATTTTATAAGTTGCATCACGCATTTATTTGTGACTGTTTCATAGAAATCTGATCTTTGCTTGCAGTCCATTATAGTAAATAAAATTCAGGCTTAAGAAATACTGAATCTTTTCTTTTCAGCTATATAAAAGTATACAGTTAATAAAGGAATAAATCTTACACTCCAAGCTTCCTTCTCTTTGGTGCTGTGTCACTCTGGGATCTTGGTTAAGCCATAATGCACATTTGGGCCCTAATGAGTTAGGAGGTATGGTTAGGTTCCCATCTCTTTTTGCCTGTAATTGTTGTTATCCCAAGGATATTATACTGAAGACTGATGTTTTGTGATGATTTTTTTCCAACACAAACAAAACAGAAACTGAATGAAAATCATAATGCTTTTTGTAGCGCAAAACACATTCATATAGTCTATGAACATCTGTAGCTGTGTGGACAAGTGCTTGTATTACCTGAGCATTCAGCAGTTCCTCACACTTGTATGAGTGTTTTTCAATTGCAGCTACGTACTGTTTTTCAATGGCTTCTTCTTGCTTCTGAACTGTAGACTGCAATAGTGCCTGGAAACAAATACAGCAGACCAATTTCAAAACAGAAGACACACTTGAGTGTTTTTGACACACTGCAAATTAACTAACTTTTGTATATACCTGAAATCTGATATTCAGCTGCACCCACAGAACAGAGATGTGCAACTACTGAAGTACTTTTCTATATAACACTACTTTTCATTTTTAGATATACATCTTTCTTTAGCCAGGATTATATTTTTTGGCTCTCATGTTTCCTACACACACACCTTTTGCATAAAAGAAGGCAACTCACAGAAGAAGATAGAGAGGGTGAGTAGTCCTGTTAAACATACTCAGTTTAGTGGGACCACACAAGATGAGAAGCATATGAAAGCTGCTGAGAAAAAAAAAAAAGCCAGACATATTTCACTGGCTGACAAAACTCCACATCCTCTTGGCACACTGTAAGATCCCATGGGCCAAGCATGATCTTCACAACCACAACTCAACTAAAAGCAGATGGAAATTCTGAGTAGTTTAAAACATAAAAGCAATGCGCCCCCAGGAAGTTCACACTCTGATGTGAAGAGGTGGAAGTCAAAGTGTGGAAAGTCAAAGTGCCAAGACAATATTAAAAAGATAATAAAATTAGGGACATTATACAGATATTTGATCTTAGCCGTGCAAAGGTTAAAGAATCTATATGCAAAGGGAAAAAACTAAAATAGATAACAAGAGTAGCCAAATCACCATTTGTAGGAATTACATCCACTTACTTTCTTTAAGATGATGCTGGTATTTTTACCTTCACTTCACATACTCCTGTGCTATACATGTTTTCAATAGTATATGCTATTTATATGTCCCTTCTTTCTAGAATATGTACTGTACTATTTATACTCACAACGGCAAATTCTATTTTTAAATAGTAATCGGTGTATTAAACTACTTGCAATTACAATGTAAGTTAAAACAGACTTAAAATTTATAGAAAACAGATTTTTGGCACACATATGCAGAGAAGCAAAAAAGGCCAAATTATTTAGATAAGTTTGTTTTGAAAATAAGTTTGCTTGGTGGGAAACAATACACATTAAATAATACATTGAATAAATGCAAAAAACCGTGGGACAAAAATATTTGTACAGCTTTTGGTCTATCTTCCAACATTTTCCAATAATTAGCTTTGTTTTGCAAACATTACTGTTCTTCAGGATGACTACTGCTGTAACTCAGTAGCAGTTTTACTGAAGCAAAAGAAAAAAAATACTTGTAAATTAAAAAAAGTGACAGATGGTGCTCGACATGAGGTTTAATCAAAAGGCAAGAATAAGTTTACTGGCTTTTCCACTGGCTTATGCTTGTCTTTAAATGTAAAGGTTGTTTTGCAGATTGTTTGTTCATCTTCTGCATTCATACAAATTCAGACAATCACAAAAACTTACTTCTCAAGACTCCAATTTATGCCTGAAAAACCTCACAAAAGTCTACTTTATTTGGGGTAAAATCCCATAATGAATACATTCAAATGGATATATACCAATGAGAAACCTTATTCAAGGGCTTAGTACAGGAACAGAATGTCAGTTCTAACATTTTTTCTGCATTTTTAACCTCTGGACTAATGTTATAAGAATTTGTTAGAATTAATTTATGAAGTACATTAAAACATAAAAGGTATAAAAGCAAAGATAAATATAAAGGGTCAAATTCTTCTCTAACTGAAGTCAACAGGAAAGACCCAATTGACTTCAACAAGTGCAGGATGTGGTCCTAAATAAGGTTCCTCTCTTACCCCCAAACCGTGCCTTCTAGTGCAGGTTCAGCTGAATACTCTTTAGTATGTAGGAGCTAACAGAGTTCCCATGTAAATTATTTAACCAGTGGCCTAAGTCTATTTTCAGTAGCTGTCATTGAAAACAAAACCAGAAGTATTAGACTGCAAAAAGTAACAACCCACCATATTTATTTTTAAACACAATGGAAAGTTATTATATGTTCTGATAATAAAGTAACTGTCTCTTTTAGGACTGATTTTATCAAGAATCTCAAGAGTGTGATTTTAAACACATACAAGGAGTCAAAATATAGTTTCTAAATACAATTTGGAAAAATGATTTTGGGGATGTGTTCTACTCATAAGAGAATACACTAGCATTACATTATACCACATACGACAGTTGTATCTTGCCCTGCCCCCAAATGATATAGGCTGTTGTAAGACATCCCTCCCCATAGTATGTAGATTGCAGTCTTCTACTTTGTAATTTATCTCTGTTAAAGAAGTTGCATAAAGATAAAAAGTGCCAGGAAATACTATGAATTCTGTGATGAGACTTAAAACTTTATAAAAATTAGATGTTTCCCATCATATATTAGTTTACAGATAGATAGATAGATAGATAGATAGATAGATAGATAGATAGATAGATATAGTAGGCGCTCAGATACTACAATGTTCACGGTCTATAGTGTCAAAGTGGAAAGAATATACCCCCTCTGTATGCTCCTGAAAAGCCGAAAGTTTAAACATTTTAGCATCAAACTCTTTGCCTGACCATCTTATGTAATTATATAGAAACGTGCCACAATGATCCTTTAAGGCTTGCATCATCTTGGAATGGTAGTCTTTTCTACTAAAGGTATTCATTGGCTTGGTGAGATTAATATAGAGTGCACATATAGAACTGCCTATAGCTTCAACACATTAATGCAGCTATGCTTCCTGAAATCGCTAAAAGAACTCAAGCACAATTCAATCATAAACCACAGTAATACTTGATATTAGAGCTGTCAAGTGATTAAAAAAAGTAATTACAATTAATCACATTGTTAAACAATAATAGAATACCATTTATTTAAATATTTTTGGATGTTTTCTACATTTTCAAATATATTGATTTAAATTACCACACAATACAAAGCGTACAGTGCTCACTTTATATTTATTTTTATTGAAAATATTTGCACTGTAAAAAACAAAAAAAAATAGTATTTTTCAATTCACCTAAGTACTGTAGTGCAATCTCTTTATCACAAACGTTGAACTTACAAATGTAGATACAAAAAAACTACATTCAAAAATAAAACAAATGTAAAACTTTAGAGCCTTCAAGTCCACTCAGTCCTACTTCTTGTTCAGCCAAACACTCAAACAAATGAGTTTGTTTACATTTGCAGGCGATAACGCTGCCTGCTTCTTGTTTACAATATCACCTGAAAGCCAGAACAGGCATTCGCATGGCATTGTTGTAGCCAGCGTCACAAGATATATACGTGCCAGATGCACTAAAGATTCATATGTCCTTTCATGTTTCAACCACCATTCCAGAGGACATACATCCATGCTGATGACGGGTTCTGATCAATAACGATCCAAAGCAGTGTGGACCGATGCATGTTCATTTTCATCATCTGGATCAGAGGCCACAAGCAGGAGGTTGATTTTCTTTTTTGGTGGTTCGGTTCTGTAGTTTTCGCATCAGAGCATTGCTCTTTTAAGACTTCTGAAAGCATGCTCCACATCTCGTCCCGCTCAGATTTTGGAAGGAGTTTCGGATTCTTAAACCTTGGGTCGAGTGCTATAGCTATCTTTTATTTATTTATTTATTTTCATTAAATATGTAGTCTAAATAATTAAATTAATAAAATTTCAAGCCAAATATGTATTAATTTTAATGAACAATGCCGTATTATGTAGTATTCATTTTTGAAAGTTTATAATAAGCGATGCACCGGGGAGAAGGGTGGGGATGGGAGGCACAAGGTGGAAGTTTCGCCTCGGGCGCAAAATATCCTTGCACTGGCCCTGCATCCAAGACTGCTATAACATGAAATATATGGCAGAATGTGGGTAAAACAGAGCAGGAGACATACAATTCTCTCCCAAGAAGTTCAGTCACAAATTTCATTAACATTTTTTTAAACAAGCGTCATCAGCATGGAAGCATGTCCTCTGGAATGGTGGCCGAAGCATGAAGGGGCATACAAATGTTTATTATATCTGGCACATAAATAACTTGCAATGCTTGATACAAAAGTGCCATGCGAACGCCTGTTCTCACTTTCAGGTGACATTGTAAATAAGAATCGGGCAACATTATTTCCTGTAAATGTAAACAAACTTGTTTGTCTTAGTGACTGGCTGAACAAGAAGTAGGACTGAGTGGACTTGTAGGCTCTAAAATTTTACATGGTTTTGTTTTTGAGTGCAGTTAAGTAACAAAAAAAATCTACATTTGTAAGTTGCACTTTCACGATAAAGAGATCGTACTACTGTTCTTGTATGAGGTGAATTGAAAAATACATACTATTTATTTTGTTTATCATTTTTACAGTGCAAATATTTGTAATAAAAATAATATAAAGTGAGCACTGTACACTTTATATTCTGGGCTGTAATTAAAATCAATACAGTTGAATAATATAGAAAAATATCCAAAAATATTGAATACGTTTCAATTGGTATTCTACTGTTTAACAATGTGATTAAAACTGCGATTAATCACGGTTAATTTATTTGAGTTAGTCGGTTGAGTTAACTGCAATTAACTGATATCAAGCCCTACCTGATATATTTAAATGCATACTTGCAGCACAACAGCACCAACCTCAAATTTGTGCCCTATTGACCAAAAATAATTTGGGGTAGCCAGCTTTGATAGTCTAAACTCCCATTTTCCACAATGGATGAAGCTCTCATCCTGGTGGCCTAACACTGATGGTGAGGACAGCCCTCCACTTTGACCCATCTCAAGTCTCATGGACAACTCTTTTTCATCAATCTGTTGTCACTGTCTTGATGTAAAAGTGGCACTCCACTAGTAATATTTTTCTTCCAATAGCTCACAGTCAGTTAGGCCATGGGTAGAGGAAAATGGAGCCCCACAAACAACTGCAGCATGCAGTACTGGTCTCAGTTTCTGGCTCTCCACATGTATTGTCAGACCACCTTCTAGTATCTCTCCTGTGCTGCATGAGACTGAAAACTAATCTTCAAGTGCCTTTAGTAGTATTTTTTTTTGTTTTTTTTTTAACCAAAGCTGAAC